GAGAGAGGGTGCCGGCAGGCTTCCCGGTGAAGAAGGAAAGCGGACGACGTCACAATGCCGGAAAGTGCGACCGGAGCCGTTTGGGGCGGGGCGGGGCGGGGAGGGGAGGGCGGGGAGGGGCAGGGAGGGAAGGGGGGCTGGTTTGGGGTAGTATTGGAAGGTGTTCAGTTTGTAGGCGGGCGGGTGGGTGGGTGGGTGGGTAATGAGTATGGTAGGGCTGTTGGGGTGGTGGAGGGGGAGGCGAAAATTCTGGCCGACACTTTCGGCAACAATTGCCGCCACTGCTACGAGTCGCTAACACTCGCGGCTGGCTGAGCGAAGCGAAGCGGCTGACACCTTACATAGCTAAGAGCTACGATGGCGTCGACAGAGTCGGCTCCGATGGAGTGGGAACACACCCGCCCACCCTTTTGATGCCGATGCGCTACGACGACGACGGGCGCCATCTGGGCGCCCGATTCTTACCTTGATATCGTGTGTACGCGAGCCATCGAACGGCGCTCACGTACACGCGGTTGACCGTGCCAATCGGCACGATGTGCTGGCAAAGATGGCCAGCACAGTAAATGCGAGGAAATCCCAAGCCGTCGAGCCAGCGGAGCGACCGCTCGGCCGACAACCGAGAGTATGTATCGTTCATTCAAACATGGTTACTCGTAGTTGCGGACGAGGAACTCGTCGCACATGGTTGTCGCGTGGACGCGGGTGAGCCAGTCGTACATCGCCAGCTCGTCCATGATGCTGCGGGCGGCGCTTTGCTTGGCCTGGTTCTTGGACGGCTTCATCGCCGAGTACTGCATCATTGGCTCGGCGCCATGGCCCATGACCACAGCCAGCGCACACTGATACATGCCGTCGTCGTCGCGCATCCACGCCGTAACGGCAACATCCGGGAGCCGAGCGGCAAGGCCCTGCAGGAGCGAGAACGGCTTCTTCCGCCACATGCCCATGGTAGCCCACTCCAGAATGCTCAACTCGGGCGAAGGACGGAGTCCGATCGGCTCCGCCATATACAGCTCCCAGTCATCGCCCTCGGGTTCGGTCGCCGTCTGTTCCGACCGAACCACCATCTTCTCCACGCCGCTAGTGTTGCCGCCTGTGTACACCTTGCGCTCGTTTGGACCTCTGAACGGCCAAGGCTTGCCTATCGTTCCCGACGTGCTTCCAGTCTCTGCAGCCATGATGTGCTCGTGGGAAACGTGTGTGGTATGGTGGAGATGCGGCCGTTGCAAGAAAGCGAAAGAAGGCCGTGATTTTGACGAGGAAATCGATGGCCACTCGATTCTCGCCACTCGGCTTCTGCCCTCACTTGAGCACTTGAATCTGCCCTCATCTGTCCATCTGCCTCTGGTGAGTGATACACCCTATCTCGCTGATGCTAAGAGTATGTACCCTCAACCGAGAGTAATCATCCTGGTCATGGTCTGTAGCTTGGTGTTTACCATCCGCGTCGCTGGTGGTTGTGGTGGCGCACGAGTCATGGAGATCCTGACGTAGAGGCCAAAGTGGTGGGATGGGGCCATGGTTGATCCATCGGGTCCGACAAAGGGTGTACATTCGACGAGTTTGGTACGACGGGGTCTGGTCATCTGCCAATTCCCACCGCGCGTGTTCGTCGAGTACAGAATGCGATCAAAGCGTTGTCGTCCTGCAATCACGGGCAACGTGGCGTTCCGGCAAATATCATTGCAGGGAAAAGGCGAGGGCAGTTTGCCCCAGGCGATGGATGGCTTCGCCGGCAATGTGATCAAACCCACGGGAGCTCGCTTACCGACCACGCGGTCTAACCGTCTACCAGGCAATGGCTGCAGCCTACATGCGCTCCGCTCCACATCCATCACCCGCAGGATCATGCGCTCGAAGCGCTTGCGCCAGCCGCTGATCCTCAAAGTCGCCCAACTCACGGTGCACCCGCTCCCAGAACTCCCGCTCACGGATCGAGCGTAGCTGTACGGCGCTCTCGCCGTCCTTCTCCTCCTTGCGGAGTGCTGCCAGCAACCGCAGCTCCTGCACAAACGCAGCTCCGAGCAGCGCAATCGCTGCGACGATCAAGAGGATGACGACAACCGTGAAGAAGACCTGCTGCGGCGCAGAAAACATCTCGCCGTGGAACATGATGCCCAGCACGAGAATGCCCACAAGGATCGCGTTCAGCCGCGCCTCGAGCGTGTTGTACATCGGGAGAAAGTACGGTTCCAGCCGGAGAAAGGCGAGCGTCGAGGCAAAGAAGACACCGCCGAGCAGCAGGAACTGGAACGAGTACAGCGTCGAGAAGAAGAGCGAGGCGCATGCGATCCACAGTCGCCGCCCGAGCTGCACCAGCTCAAACCAGAAGTAGTGCCGCCGATACGATCGGTACAGGCCGCCGATCTCGTTCAGCACCCTCGCATCAAACAGCGCGTCTGCGGTCTTGGCCTTCCATAGCATCCACCCGCACACTGCCGGAATGCCGACCACATACACCATCGTGCACACTCCGCCAAAGCTAGCCACCGCCCACCACGTCCCATTGTAGCACACGAGGCTCATGTCTGCATCAAGCAGCCACCTTCCGTCGTACAGCCGTGTGCAGTCAAAGATCGAGAGCGTCGCCCGCGAGAGCGGCAGGTACATCAGCGGCGAGACCAGCGCCGCCAGACTCTGTGCCGCCTCCTGCATCTCAAACGATGCGTGCGCGCTCCAGAGCATACCCCAACAGACAAGCCCAAAGAGTGCCACAAACACCATCGGAAGTATCATCACCACCGCGTACTTGGCGTAGAACGAGGTGAGCGTGCACTTGTTGACCAAAACGCCGCGTCGAGGTTGAAAACGTCAAACACGCCCAGCGTCGACTGCGCCGCTTCCGGCCAGCTCATCGCCGCGCTTCCAAGTACGCCCAGGACTTGGAAGAAGAGGAATGCCATCGTCACCGCCCGGGGAATCGAGGTCATCCGTTGAGCGAGCCTGGACCTGCCCTCGTAGTCGTCATCGCGGACAGCCTGGATGCGGGTGACAATGAACACGCCCGCCGCCGCTGCCGCAATGCCCACAACCACAATCACCGCAGACAAGACGACTGGTGCACCGCTCGGGCACTTGGCACACACTCCGCGCTTGTCTGTGTGATATCCGCGTGCGCACACGCCGCAGAGCGCTCCCTCGTGGCCGGCCGCGCACTGCGGCGGATCACCGCCGCGGCAAACGTCGCGCAGTCGACACTCCTCAAACTGGCCGTCGCCCACCGGGTAGAAGCCTGGCATCGCCACAGGTCCATTGGTCCCGCCCGCGCACACGCCGCCCACGGGACATGCCTGACATGCCACGTTTGTCGCTCCGTTGAGCGCGTAGTACCCGATTTTGCACACGCACGGCACGCTGCGCCCGGCTGCCGTTACGTTCTTGCTCTCTGCGCGCCGGAATGCGTTGTCCGGGCACGACTCGCACGATGTTGCCCCCTTGTTGAGATTGAACGCGCCTATTGGGCACGCCATGCAGCCTTTGAGCGAGATCTCGTCCGAGAACGTGCCCTCGGAGCACTCGCTGCACTCGAGCGGAAGCCCACTGAGCGAGATAAGGCCCATGCCCAGGCCGCACGGCCGGATCTGCAGCGACAGCGCTACCTTGGCCACCTCGGGTACACCAACTACACTCACCTCAAGCGAGTACTGCGTCTCGCTGAGCGAATCGAGGGCGTTGCTGTCGGCTGCAAGTGCTTTGACCGTCGCAAACGAGACTTCCGCGGCGTCCATCAGCCGCGACCGATCGCCACCGGCAAGCACCACCCCGCCCGGCGTATTCGGCTGCGAGTGCATCGAGATCCGGACGCTAGCATCCACCACAGCCTGTCCAAACACATCGCCGAGGCTTACTGTGGCATCATCTCCGAGTGACGCTCCAGTTGCCCGATCAAGCGGGCCGACGCTCCGCGCCCTCCTCCTGCTCCAAACCATCGTCACCGGCGGCGATGCTGCCACCGCACCATATCCGCTCGCCGACGACCCGCTCAACAGCGTTGACGCCGCCATCCCGCCGCCGAGCGAGAGCCACGGCACATCGTCAACAGATCGTGCCTCCGGTGTGTTGTCGGCATCTACAAGCGGCAGCGTTCCCGCCGGTAGGCAAACAAACACGCCGCCGCCGCCGCGGCTAGCGCTGCTTCCAGCCACGCTCGAGCTCCCTGCGCTGTCAAACCTCACACGCACTCCGCAGAGCCCCATCGCTCCGCCGTAGCTTGCGCGATTGTCGCTCATTGTCACCACTCCATTGAGCGCCACGGATCCGGCCGTGTCGCTGGCTGGTGGCGCCGGTGCCAGGCCCGTCGACGACATCGGGCTCGACAGCGCCTCCACAGAGACAACCGCCCCAATCGCTCCGCCCCATCCACCGATGTTGCCGCTTAGCACAAGCGGTGCGTCGATGGTGGCATCCACCGCTAGCCCCACCACCGCCAGCCCGCCGCCAACTCCGCTCGCCGAGTTGCCCGAGATCGTACTCGATACGCCGCTCCAGTCGACATCGAGCACAACCGTGGCCGACTCGGAGAGCAGCAGCGCCCCGCCGCCCGAGCCCGAGCCGTAGCTCTCGGACCACCCGCTTGCCACGTTGTTGGTCAGCGTCACACCCGACAACGACACCGCAACGCTTCCTGATCCCGATCCGAGCACCAGCAAGCCGCCGCCCGAGCCCGTCGCCGTGTTTCCATCAAAGATGACGTCGGTCAGGTTCACGCTGCTCGTCGAGCCAATGACCGCCAGCCCGCCACCAGAGTCGCCAGCCACGTTCAACTCAAACGCCGTCCGGAGAGCAGTAATCGACGCGCCAAGCTCAACAAGCACCGCCCCGCCCATCCCGGCATTGATCTGGAACACTGTCCGGTCGGAGGCCAGCTTGTTCGAGCATCCGCGCAGCGTCACGTCGGTCAGCGTGAGCGACGAGCCGGAGCCGGTCACCCGGAGAGCCGCCACAGCCTCGGCGTCCGACGGGATTGACGTTGCTCCGATGATCGTCATGTCTTGCAGCGAGACTTCTGCGCCGTCGCGGATGTCAAACAGGCCGCCGCCGCCATTGGCCCCGCAGTCGATCGTCGAGCCCATGCCGCGGATGGTCACAGACTTGAAGAGTGGCAGGAGCCGCGTCGAGAAGCACCCGCGATACACGCCGGTCGGCATAACCACGGTCGTCGTTGCGCATCCCGACGCCTCAAGCAGCGTCTCAGCTACGCACGAGAGAGTAAAGCCGCATCGCGCAACCGCCACCGTCCGCGTCACCCCGGGCAACGGGATCGCCGGCGAGAAGATCGACATCCCAGGGATCCAGCCGATCTGCGACTCGAGGCCGATGAGAAAGTCGGGTGCGCCGTCGAGGTTAAAGTCGCGAAGGACAAACCGCAGATCGGTGTCTGCATTGGCCACAGACATCGGGCGAGGGCTGTACGACGGGCCGGGAAAGTAGATGATGACCGACGCAAACGAGCCCTCCACCACAATGTCCAGTACGTTGTCGCCGTCAATGTCCGCTATCTCGATGCCCACGTTGGTCTGATCCGTCGCCACAAAGGTCGAGACCTGTGGATCCACCGGCAGCGGCGTGAGAAAGAGCGGCGAGGTAGCGCTGCCAAAGTTGTTGCTCCGTGAGAGCGAGTACTTGCCGCCAAATGGGTTCGGCGGCCCGCGGGTGTGGAAGACGAGATCAAGCAAGCCATCACCGGTCAGATCGCCGAGCGCAAACTCGCCCACTTGCTGCGCCCCGGTCCGTAGCGAAAGCGCAGGCGCGCTGTATCCGTTCATGTTGTTGGCCAGCCACATGATCGAGCTTGTGCCCGTGTCCGAGAACACCACATCACCGTAGCCGTCGCCGTTGAGATCGCGGACCAAGAGGTATGCCAGACTGCTGCCGGTGTTGGCATAGACAGTCGTGGCCGGCCCAAACCCGAGCGCCTCCGTCTCAAGCAACAGGTTCTTGACCAGAAACACCGCATTCGGCGCATCGATGCCCACAACATCCATGTCGCCGTCGTTTTCTACGTCCACCACCGCCATCGCCGTCGCCGCAGTCGACGTCGACAGCTGGCCGCTCCATTCCAAGGACGAGAAGCTCCCGCCATCGTTGATGGCGTAGACGAGCATGCTGCCAGCCGCCGACGACGCAATCACATCGGTGTCGCCGTCCAAGTCAAGATCAACCGCAATCGCAGTCTCGGGTTCTGCCAGCTCTCCGCCCACCCGCGCCGGGCTGGCCCATGCCCCGCCGAGCCCGTCGCTGTTGCCAAAGACAAACACACCATTATTGGGCGAGCCGATGGCGCCGATGATGTCGACATCACCATCACCATCCGCATCCAAAGGTCTCAACATGCGAGGCGAGCCGAGTCCGCCGGCCAGAAACGAGTACTGCAACACGTCCAGTGGATCAACGAGGAAGCCAGAGACCGTGTCCGACAGCATCGCCGCCGCCACAATGTCGTCGTCGCCGTCGGCGTCGAGATCGCCCATCGCCACGCCGCTGCACGCGCTACATGGCGCAATGAGCCGCGACATGCCCCAGACCTCGTCCTTGCCCCGCCCTGCTCCCCCACCGTCGTACCGGTTTGCTACCCAGAACAAGTTGTTCACGTTCTGCGACGCAAGCACCAGATCCAGATCGCCGTCTCCGTCCACGTCATGGGCATACACGCCCGAGACCGAGAGCTGGAACGGGAAGCTCCGAGTCGTCCATCCGCTCCCATCGCCAGCGTTGTTCTCAAACCATCGCAGTCTGCTCGCCGCGGTGCAATGGACTACATCGTTGTCGCCGTCGCCATCAAAGTCTCCCGTCGCCACCGCCAGCGATGCGCCGACGTCGGCCGAGAGAAGAGCCACCGGCGGCCCATACGTTGTTGCAGCCATCCACGGCAGGTACGCCACCGCATCGCCGCCGCCGTGCGTGGCAAACACAATGTCAGCCATGCCATCGCCAGTCACATCGCCCAGCGCAAACGTCGTGGCCCTGTCCAGCGCCGCCACTGTCACCGAGTCGGCGAGCTCGTGTTTGGTCGTGTTGTAGCTCCCGGCGCCGTCGTCGACAAAGGCAGCCAGCTGAAAAGTGATGCCCATCGGGTTGAACGACGGTCCCTCGAGCGTTACCACATCGTCCAATCCGTCGCCGCTCACATCTGCGTAGTCAACGTGGACCACTCGCCGCAAGTTGGTGGCAAAGATGGTCTCGACAAAGTTGCCGTTGTTGTCGCCGACGTAGTGGGCGCACCAGTGCGGAAAGTCGGCAGCGCTCGAGCCACGATACCCGTTGCACGCCACCACGCTCGGCACACCGCTCAAAGTAGACGTGGCCATGACGTGCACAAATCGTGCCCGATGCATGTCAGCCAACTTCGCCGAGGCAGTCTTGACCCACCCGATGCCCACACCGGTATTCCGCACCCACTCGATGGTGCCCGACTCGTAGCCGGCGACAACAACATCGTTAAAGTCGATCCCGGCGCTGAGGGGTCCTGGTGGCGGAGGCACATCCTTATCGCAGTCAACAACGGCAACGCCGGCCGCTCCGTCGATCAAGCCCGAGATGACCTGTGCCGATGGCTGCAGTAGTTTGTCACACGGCACGTCGACGCCGACCACTGCCTGCCAAGCCGCTACCAGCGCCACCAGTGCAAGCAGAATGCCCCTTCTGATATACTTTGCCATGCTTGCGCAAAGACTACGTTGCTTACAATAGCGATGAGTGTATCCATCATGCCGATGCCCACATTGACGCGCCCTGACCTGCTACAGCGACCAAGCGGGGGATGTGTCGAACGCGACAACGAAATTTCTATTGCGACACGGCTCGACATTGACCACCTTCTAACGCTCCTCCTGCTCGACTTGACATCGCAACCGGAGTTTATTGCACACCACATTGTACTCTGGTAATAGTTGTTTCTGTTACGCTTTTTTGTTGTGCTATAGGTGCCTTGTACGCGGCTACAGGACGAAGGGGGGGTGCGTTGTACAAAGTCCCGCACTTGGCCTGTGCAGCAAAAAATTCATTTCGGTCACGTGGGTGCAGCCACCGCTCACACGTGCGACAGGGCGCCTCTATCCCGCACGCCTGCACAGCTGCAGACTCAACCACATATCATCTCATCTTTACCTGTATGGCTTGCTGCCCACCGTACCGAGGCATACTCGCTGTCGAGCTGTTCATCGCCCTGCTTTTCGCCATGATCTCGCTGCAAGCAGTCACCGCTGTGCCCATCACCTGCAAGCCCGTGCCAGCGACCATGACACCAATCGGATTCGTCGACCAGGGCAACAGCCTTGTCACCGGTCACCTCGATGCAGATGTTTTTCCTGACGTGGCTGTTGTCTCGGGATTGACAGGCAATCTCGTCTGGTTTCGCAACACCCAGTCGTTTGGCTGGTCATCGGCCAACACCATCTCCATCGGCCGGCTGGAGACGCCGAGCTATCTTGTCGGATACGACTCGGGCGGTGATGGCCTCCTGGATTTGGCATCTGCTTCCGATTCGAGTACCGACACCACCCTTGACTTTTATCGCAACACCGGTGGCGCCTTTGTCCACGTCGAGGTCGTCCCGCCCGGCACCTCGCCCTACGCCCGATTCACCTATCTCGTCATGGCCGACTTTACCGGCAACACTCTCGCCGACATTGCCGTCGTCGATTCTGAAGCTGCCACTCCTACCATCGTCCACTTTGTGCAGACCGCGCTTGATACCTTTGCCGCTGGCGCCTCGATCATTCCCTCGGCCGCCCTGCTCGACAAGCCAGGCGCCATGGCCGTCGCGGACATCGACGGTGACGCAGACTTTGATCTGGTGGTGGCGAGCCATCACAGCGCGCCGGGCAGTGTGTACTGGCTGGAGAACGGCGGCGGTGGAAGCTTTGTCGACACGGTTCATCCTATTGCCTTCAATTATCCGCTTCTGGACGAGTCCAGGACGATTGGCGTCGCCGACTTTGACCGCGATGACTTGAAAGACGTCGTCTTAGCCTCGCGCAACAACATCATGCTCTGGATCCGCGGCGCCAGCGCAAACGGGACAGCATGGGATCCCCCGCGGTTCATTACTGACGCCCATCTGGATGCACCATCGCAGATTGTCATCGGTGACATGGACGGTGACGGCGATCCCGACCTTGCCGTGGCAGCAAGGGGCAACAACGTCGCCACCTGGCTCGGCAACCGGTACGATGGCGGTGCCGGGGACATTGAGAGCATGTGGGAGGAGCCGCGGACAATTTCAGAGTGCAACACGTGCCAGACCGTTGGCCTTATGGACTTCAACATCGACGGCAAGCTCGACGTGGTCGTCGCCGATCGCGCCAAGGACAAGCTCCTTCTCGCCCGCAACTCGCCGCTGGACGTCTTTGGCAACACCCTCATGGACCTCTCCACAGACTCGCCCGAGACCATGGAGTCGCACGACTTTGACGGCGATGGTGATCAGGACTACCTCGTCTCCTCAGCCTCAACCAACACCGTTAAGTGGATCGAGAACACAGATGGGCTCGGCGGCACCTTTACCACCCGTGTCCTCGACACTACTCTAACAGGCGTGAGCCGGGCGGCGGCGGCCGATCTCGATCTCGATGGCGACATCGACATCCTCGCTGTCTCGCCCTCACTCTACAAAGTTGTCTATGGGCTTAACGCAGGCGTGAACTTGTTTGCCGATGTTGCTGCTGCCGGATGGACCGGGACGGCGTTGCATGTTCCGGGCCTGGCGGTCAGCCTCATTGTGCCAGTCGACATCGACGCCGACGGCGATGTCGATCTCGTCGGCTCCTCGCCCACAGAGCTCTTCTACCTCACCAATCAGCTCATCGAGTGGGGCAACAAGACCATCGGCTTCTTGCCGCGAAATGTCATCGACACATTCGTCCAGCTGGTCCAGTTCGAGGTAGCGCCGATGAACGTCGACGTATGGCCGGACATTGTTACGGCCGACAAGACCACCGGCGCCGTCCACATCTACCTCGGCTCGGCCTCGGGTAGCTTCACGGCAGGACTCTCTGTAGCTGCGTCAACAGAAGCGGATCCTGTGTCGCTGATCTACGCCGTGGCGCTCATTGATGCTGACAGAGATGGCGATCTCGACATCGCCTGTGCAGCTGCAGCTGAAGGCTTTGTGCTCCTCATCAACAGCGGCGATGCCGTGTTTGACTCCTCTGTCGCCGGACGGACCAACTTCTCCACCGCTGTGGCCAAAGATGTCGACGTCGGCATGATGGTGGCCGACTATAATGGCGATAGCATCGACGATCTCATCTACCGCGGCAGGCTCGAGCCCGGCGTCCTCGGCTTCTTCGAGGGCGTCGGCGATGGCTCGTTCGTCACACAGCTTGTCGACGGCTCGTTCGAGATCTCGCTCTCTACCGGCGTCGACTTTAACCAAGACGGCGCCATCGATGGCGTGGCCGAGTACCTCGGCACCATGGGCTGGTTCCGAGGCACAACACTCTTCCGCGTCCTCGATGCCGTCTCGCCGAAGAAGATGATCCTGTCTCTGGCCAAGCTCGGCTCCACCCTGGCCCGACTGTCCTACTACATCGGCCTCGCCTCGGGCTGTGCCACCGACACCATCGTGCTCCCGCCGCACGCTGCGTTGTATGGATGCTTTGACACCGGCCCGTATCCGCTGTACAAGTCGATGGTGATTGACGGTAACGGCGCGACCATCGACTGTCGCCTCGGCTCTGGCGGTGGCCTGTTTGACATCCGCGAGGGCGCGATCGTCACCCTCCGCAACATGACCATTATCGGTGCCCGCGCCACCAAGAGCTCGCCCAACGGGCCGGCCGGGCTACGGGTCACCGGCAGCGGCTCAATGCTAGTATTGGAGGACGTGGTCGTCAGCCATGGATCGGCTCTTCCCATCGCCGGCGCCGTGTTTCAACTCAATCGCGGCATCGGCGGCGGCGTGCTTGTCGAGACTGGTGGGAGCCTGGTAGCGCGGCGATGCAAGTTTGAGAACAACGTAGCGAGCGCTGGAGGTGGCGGTGTGGCTGCTGTTGGCTCGGATGTGGCCATCGAGATGGAGGACGTAATTCTGACCGGCAACGCTGTGGCTAGTGGCTCTGGCGGTGGCATCCTGCTGCAGAGCAACGCCGCCGGGGCGGCACGAGTCGTCTTGACTCGCGTGACGCTCTCGGACAACTCGGCCGGCGGCATCGGATCTGGTGGCGGACTCGCCGTCTCGTGCATCGCAGCAGCGAGCTGTGAGGTCACGCTCACCGACTGCCGCGTGGCCGGCAACTCGGCGGATGCTGCGGGAGGCGGCGTGATGGCGGCAGGGACGCGGGTGGTCGGGATGCTCAACGCGACGATGATCGAGTCTAATACTGCCGGCTATGGCGGCGGACTGGCGATCGTCACGGCGCCGGTGTCTGTGCCCGCACTCCTGCCAGCATCTTCGCTGATACCCGAAGGCGTGCCGGCGTCCAAGGTGAGCGGCGCGATGCAGATAGTCGGCCCAGGGTCAGCGCTGCGCGGCAACATGGCCGTCTTTGGCGGTGCCATGCTTGTGTGCTCCGTGCCGGTCACCTTTGATGACGTCCAGCGTGCATCGCTGGACGTTTCAGGCAACTCGGCGAGCGTCGGCGGCGGCGCGGTCTTTGCCTGCCTCCCGGCCGGCTCACTAGCGGCGGGATCAGGGGCGCGGCTAGATGCGGCTGGCCTCCCATGGCTCAAGCTCTACAATCGCGCGCTTGGTGCCTTTCAGAGCGTCGAAGAGGTGTTTGGTCCGTTTGTGGATGGCAGCGCGCTCTACGGACAGGTCCTCGCCTCACCACCGCATGTCCTCGAGTGGATGGCGTCTCGCGGTAGATACTCGCCAGTGCTGACGCAATCGTCGGGCATCGAGCTCGGCGCCACAGCTCAGATCTGGCCGATAGACGTGTTTGGTCAGGAGCTTGTTGATCCGGGCATGACGATCGAACTGGAGCTAGTGGCGCCGGGAACGGGCTTCCAGCTCTCTGGCGGCGATCGGTCCAAGCCGATGGGCAGCTCGTCGCCAGTTTCATTCGCGGACGTGACCGTGGAAGCGTTGGACGGCGACGTGCTGCGGGGCACGCCACCGGTGACAATCCACGCGCGCGTATTGCCCGCGCAGCAGAGTCCCGTGGGCGTGCTGCAAGCGAACATCTCGGCGTGTATGCCTGGATTCGGCCGGCGGTCTCCCGATGGCGCGCCGATTGTGTGTTCGATCTGTCTCGAGGGTACGTACTCGGCAGAGCTCTCCACTGCGCCATGCCTCTCGTGCGACGACGGCGCGTCCAACTTTGGCATCGGGGCCACGAGCTGTGAAGCGTGTCCGCGAGGAACGGAGCGCGACTTGTCTGTCGTCAACACAACCGACGTGACGGCCGACGGTGGCATCAACTTGCCGTGCACATGCTCGCCGGGCTTTTACTCGCCGCAACGCAAGAAGGATGTGGCGTGCGCGCCGTGTCCTACTGGCGGAGTATGCGATGGCAAGCTCAAACTCCCCTATGCGCAGCCCGGGTACTTTCCCGGGAGTGATGGCACCTTTGCCGCCTGCCTCAAGGCCGATGCCTGTCTGGGAGGAGATCCGTTCCGCTGCGCGGGTGGCTCTGAAGGCCTGCTCTGTGCCGAGTGTGTCGATGGCTACTACGTCGACGCCAGCGGTGACTGCCACAAGTGCTCTGATGCCTCGACAGTCTTCCTTGTCCTGTTTTTGCTGGCATTCCTCGCCTTTGTCTCGGCCGCCGTCTTTGCTGCGCTGCGTCAGGACAACGGCGGGAGCGCGCCTCCGGACACAGGCCTCGCACTGCACACCAGCAAGATCCCCATCAGCATCACCATCGCCATTGTGTTCTTTCAAGTAGTAGCCGTGGTCGGCGCGACCCTGTTCCGATGGCCGAGTGAGGCTCAGGCAGTGCTGCTGTGGTTCGGCATTTTTAATTTCGACTCGAGCGCGGCCTTTAACGAGTGCTCGCTCTCCTCGTACTACGCCAAGTACACGCTGGCATGCATGCTGCCTGCTGTCTTTATGCTAGCAGTCATCACTGCACTCGCGCTAATCCGCATGTGGCGGGGAGTCCAGATCAGCATCGGGCTTGCCGTCACGCGTATGATCCTGGTGGTTGGCCCGGTGGTGTACCTGACGCTCTCGCGGACAGTCCTCTCTCTCTTCGACTGCACCCAGCTCTTTGACGGCGTGTGGTCGCTCGATGCCGATCGGCGGCACCAGTGCTACAACGCAACGTGGTGGGCAGTTGCCTGGCTTGGAGCTATCTTCGTTCTGCTCTACGTTGTCGGCATCCCGGCGTATTGTGCCTTGGTTGTGTGGCGATCGCGACGTGAGCTCTATCACCATGAGACTATGCAGGCCATCGGAGGCTTCTATCGCTCCTACCGGCGGCACTACTACTGGTTTGAGCTGGTGCAGCTTGGGCGGCGGCTGTGGATCGCATGCGCCTCGCTCTTCTTCTCGACGCTGTACTCGTTCCAGTTCCTGCTGCTCGGCGGTGTCTTCTTTGCCTCGACGCTCGCCTTTCTCCGGCTGGAACCGTACTTTCTCCCGATGTACAACACGCTCGAGGCGCGGCTGAACGCAATCCTTGTGGGCATTCTCGTGCTGGGCATCATGTTCCACGGCGCGATGTTCAGCGCCGGCCAGCGGACCTTCTTTACCGTTGTCATCATCCTCCTTGTCGCCGCCGCTATCGTCCTGCTCGTGGTGGTCTTTGTCCGCGAGCTCAGGCTCGTCGCCGCGCTACGCAAGGAGAAGAAGGACTCGGCAGGCGAGACCGGCGGCATTCAGCTGCACTCGATCCGTGAGCAGGAGTTCTGGGAGTTTGTCCGCCGCGAGTGCGACGACTTTGAGGATCAGGCCGTCATCGCCATCCTCCATCAGTTCGATCCTGCCCGACGCGACGACGACCGTAGTCTCGGCTTGTAGCATGACGGCCGACTCGGATGGCAGCAATAACGCTACGATCTGCTCGCAGTAGTGGCGACAAGGAGCTGGCCGCCCGAGCCGATCGAGACGAGCGCCAGCAAGTCGCTCTCCCACGATTCAATGCATAGCCGGTGCCAAAAAACGGTGAGCTGTGGCCATGGCTAGTCCCGGTGGGCCGCGGAAGGCGTGGATAAAAACACTTTTGTCTCGGCAGTTGCCAAACCATCACTGTCGTCACCTACAATGATTACACGTGAACATAGGTGCAGAAAGCGAAATCGACCGCATGCAACTGTGCTATATGGCTTGTTACACGCTGCATGTGTTGCCAGGATGTATGGCTTGCTCGTATTCTCGGTGTGGCGTCCGACGTGGCAACCATCGTCTCCGCCAACTGTAAAAATGACTGATCCACCATCGACCCGTCGTCGACTCACACGCTGCAACCATGACTGGCGGACAAGCCTGCCGGCGTCTATCTTCTCCCCATCCAAGCCCTTCCTCAGTGTACAAGCACCGATCTTGAGCCCATAGACTCTATGCTTGTGCTATCGCGGGCTTTGACTCGTCTGCAAGCGTCTCGGCGCAACTGAGTGTGTCGGTGAGCCCGGGAACGGTGCTTGCAGGTTGCTCCACGTTGAGCAAGAGGGTACAAGATGTGTTTGTGACGGTTGTATGCTACGCTGCCCGGAGGCGGGTGACGGTGGTGTCGATCCAGGTGGTAAAGTTCGGATCGGTCTCGGCGTCAAAGAGAAGCCGCTGGCGGAAGAAAGGCGCCAGCTGCGAGTTCAGGATCTGGCCGCGGTAAAACTTGGTTGCGGCGCCCGATCCAGGAGAGGCCCCTGCCTCGTGCTCGATCTTGCGAGTGGTGAAGCCGCGGTGCTCTGCCCAAGCCTCACACACCAAGCGGGCAAGAGTCGAGGCTGGCACACCGGCAGGGATGATCGTGTTGACCGTCATGGTGTTGCAAGCTACAACGTGGGCCGGAAGCGCCGCCGGGGTCTGAATGAGCGAAGCCCGGGTGTTGGCGTTGATCCGGGCCTGGAGCTCGTCGCGCTCGGTCTCCAGCTCATCGCGCTCGGTCTCGAGCTCGTCGCGCTCGGCGACAGCCTCGTCTCGCTCGGTCTCGAGCTCATCGCGCTCGGCCTGGAGCTCGTCTCGCTCGGTCTCCAGCTCATCGCGCTCGGCCTGGAGCTCGTCTCGCTCGGTCTCGAGCTCATCGCGCTCGGCCTGGAGCTCGTCTCGCTCGGTCTCGAGCTCATCGCGCTCGGCCTGGAGCTCGTCTCGCTCGGTCTCCAGCTCATCGCGCTCGGCGACAGCCTCGTCGCGCTCGGTCTCGAGCTCATCATGCTCGGCGACAGCCTCGTCTCGCTCGGTCTCCAGCTCATCGCGCTCGGCGACAGCCTCGTCGCGCTCGGTCTCCAGCTCATCACGCTCGGCGACAGCCTCGTCGCGCTCGGTCTCCAGCTCATCGCGCTCGGCCTGGAGCTCGTCGCGCTCGGTCTCGAGCTCATCACGCTCGGCGACAGCCTCGTCGCGCTCGGTCTCCAGCTCATCGCGCTCGGCCTGGAGCTCGTCGCGCTCGGTCTCCAGCTCATCACGCTCGGCGACAGCCTCGTCGCGCTCGGTCTCCAGCTCATCGCGCTCGGCCTGGAGCTCGTCGCGCTCGGTCTCCAGCTCATCACGCTCGGCGACAGCCTCGTCGCGCTCGGTCTCCAGCTCATCGTGCTCGGCCTGGAGCTCGTCGCGCTCGGTCTCCAGCTCATCACGCTCGGCGACAGCCTCGTCTCGCTCGGTCTCGAGCTCATCGCGCTCGGCGACAGCCTCGTCGCGCTCGGTCTCGAGCTCATCGCGCTCGACCTGGAGCTCGTCTCGCTCGGTCTCGAGCTCATCGCGCTCGGCAACAGCCTCGTCGCGCTCAGCCTCGATCTGGCTACGAATCACGGCGCACTCGCCACACGCCGGGGTAGCCGCCAGGCTCCGGATGCCCGCCTCGACCTTGGCCATCATCTCGCCCATCCGCACCGATCGCTCGTCATCAAGCACAATCTGCAGCTTGCCGGCCAGCTCCTCGCTTGGGGTAGAGGACAGATGGCTGAGCAGAGTGGCAATGAGCGACACAACTGCCGCAGCCCGCCCGTCGCTCTCGCGGTCGAGCACCTGCGCGATCTTGTGCCCAATGTCAACGGCAGCCATGAGCTTGTTGCCCTCCTTCACCAGGGTCGCGACAAGCGCAATCGTAGGGTTCTCAGCATGAATCTCCATGATGCAAGATGTTCAGGGAGAAGTAGGGTGTCTGCCTCCCCTCTGCTTGTCCTCTCCACCCAAAACGTCCGGGTTTTATGCCCGCCGCAAAGGAAGTGCGCTCGGAGCGAGAAAAAGCGCAAAAGTGCAAAAGTGTGCCGCTCGTCCGAGTTGCGCAACACCACCGCCAAGCACAAGGCCATTACCTTGTCATGTGCGCAAACTCACGGTTTTCATACCCATCCCACATCGCTGCACTCTTTCCTCTGCGAGAGAAAGGGCCGCGGACTATCCCTTGCAGCTACAAGCAACCACAGCCGCACATGCTGCCTCGTCCGCACTCATCCGCACTCTTCCGTCACGAGCGGGCATTATCACACAACAGTCGACCTCTCGGTCAACACAGGTACGTACAGCAGCAGCATAATTGCGGTCAACGCCGACACAACCAAATCACTTGAAAACCACGGAGTGTTTGTTGCAGACAAACGGAATTGAAACAAACCGGCCAGCAACATGTCCAGGCGGCGATCGCTTTTGGTCCCAGCCCGGATACTGGAATGCCGACGACGACACGCCGCCGTCGCGCTGCCCCGTGGCCTCGGACTGCCCTGGCTACACGGCGAGCGGGCCATCGGTCCCTCCTGGATCCAACGCAGGCGTAGATGATGGGAGCTCAGGCTCGAGCGGCTTTGGCTCTTCGGCCAACCATGCGTCTTGTGTTGATGGCCGCACTGGCTTTGGCTGCACGGCCTGCGCCGAGGACTACCACATCTCCGCCACAGGCATCTGCATCGCCTGCGAGTCGGCGGCTGGCCGGATGATCTTCATCATCCTCCTCCTCATTTTCTGCCTCATTGCTGCGCTCGTCCTCGCCTGTGCCTCACGACGGACCGCTGGCCTCTTTGTCTCCTTCATCATGGCCATCCAGCTCGTCGCCCTCGTCCTCCGCTACTTCCTCACCCTCACCGCCGACGCATCGTCCGCCGCCGCCCGCGCCATTCGCTGGTCCGGTATCATCCTCTTCGATCCCGAGGTCTTTGCCGCCGGCTGCACCCAGCGCTGGTCCGGGCCATACTTTGTCTACCTCTACATCATCCTCGTTGTCATTGTCGCCATCATGCTCCTCATTGGCATGCTCATCGCCATCGTCCGCCATGCCCGCCTCGCCAACCGCCCTGCCACCGACGACCTCGAGATCTCCGTTCCCATCTGGGTCCTCGGCGACTCGGAGCTCTCGGTAACGGGCAGCATCTCGGCCTCGACCTCGCTGCTCTTCCGCCAGGACACCTCCACCACCACCCTCGCCCGCCAGGACACCGCCGGCTCGGCCATCGTCCGCTACAACTCGTCCGACTCGAACCCGGGCACCCCGCGATCGAACCCGGGCACCCCGCGATCGAACCCGGGCACCCCGCGATCGAACCCGGGCACCCCGCGATCGAACCCGGGCACCCCGCGATCGCGCTCGCGCCCGTCGTTGTCGTCCTCTTCCTCGCGCAGCGCCTCCGAGTCCGACACCATGGTCTCGATGTGGAGCGTTGATATGCCCAACACCGTCTCGCGCCGGTCGTGGATCGGCTACGCACTTGCCTTTATGGCCTCTCTCTTCTACACGCCCGTCACCTACCGGACCCTTGCCGGCCTCGGCTGCTCCACCTTTGACGATGGTATCTCGCGGCTTGATCACGAGATCGCCACAAAGTGTTACGACGGCTCGCACTGGTTCGCTGCCGTCTTCCTCTTCTGGCCCATTGTCGTCGTCTATGTTGCCGGCCTCCCGCTTGCTACCCTCGTCCGCGGCATCGGCGTCTACCGCACCGGCCGCGCCATCGCCTCAAAGCTCCCAGCAGACGCCATGCGGTACAACATCTTCCTTGTCCGCGGCGCGTTCCGCTTCCTCTTTACCGGCTACTTTACATCGTACTCGTGCGCCGGCGCCGTCCCCTTCTTCCTCGTCCTCGCCATCTCCGCCGTCGCCGCCATGGTCAAGGACAACCTTAGCTTGGAGGTCATCGCCACCGCCCTCACCACCAGCATCGCTCTCGGGCTCACCGCCTGGACCGCCATCTCACGCTGGCGCGCCGCAGCATCGGCTGTCTCGGCCGTCGCCATCATCCTTGTCATCCTCATCGTCACCGTCAACGATGCCTCGCCGGCCGCCGTCTCTATCTCGGTCATCGCCCTCGTTCTTGCCGTCCTCATCGCCATCCGCATCGCCTACTCTCGCACCTCACAGACAGAGTCCTCCCGCCCACAATCCGATCCGGCCACCTACGACTCGGCCCATCCCCATGGCCGTCCTGCCGCCCGCTAGCGCGGCTGCCGCAGCTGGCAGCTCAAAATCAAAATCACCTTACCTGTCAAACGCACGCCACACCACACACACACACACACACACACACACACACACACACACACACACACACACACACACACACACACACACACACACACACACACACACACACGCATACACACACTACTGTTCTCTCCACCCACCCTCTTCATCCATCCCTCCATGCCCCGCCCTCATCTTCTCCGTCCCACCCGTGCCAGGATTCCACAGAATATTTACACCACGTGTCGTGAGCCAATTTAACTGCCTTCCGCCTCACCCGCACCGAACAAGCCCGCACTCAAGGAACATTCGCACACGGACACCCTGTGCAACACCTCTCTGTCGGACTCACTCATCCATAACCATACCCCTCATCATGAGCACACATGCATGGGTGGTCCGCTTGATGATGATGATGCTCATACTGGTCGCCGCAATGGTTGAGATGTCGACCAGTTGCGGAACAGGCGAAATAACGTTTGGCGAAATAATCGAGTGGGACAATACCACGGTGACGTACCCCGTCGCCTCGCGCTCAGGCACCTCGGCTGTTCTTCTTGGCGATGTCAATGGCGATGGCATCGGTGACGCTGCCTTTGGCTCGCCGCTCGCTGACCTCTCAGATGGCTCGGCCACCATCGTCTTCCTCAACATCGATGGCTCGGCCAACTCGTCCGTCGTCCTCTCGCGGGATACGCCGGCGCTGACGACGACTCTCTCCACTCAGGCCGGCCAGTTTGGTACTGCTCTTGGTGGCCCGGGCGATCTCAACGGCGACGGTGTGCCTGATCTCCTCGTCGGCGCGCCCGTCCTGGGAGGCACCGGCACCGTCGTCGTCATCTTCCTCAACGCCGACGCCTCGGTCGGCTCGGTCTCGCTCATCGCCAACAACAACGGCCTAGGCCTTGCTACCCTTGTCGCCGGCGAGCTGTTTGGCTCGGGCATCGGCATCATCGAGGGTGTGAGCTCGGTCAACTACGCCACGCACACCATGGTCGGCATCGGTCTGGCAGCCGGCCAGGACCGGGTGACGACCCAGGTCTACGGCTCGATGCTCATCGCCACCCTCTCGCGGACGGACGGCTCGGTCACAGCCTTTACCCTCATTGACCACTCGCAATCGGGCATGAGCGCCGTGACGCTTGGCTCGGGCTTTGGCTCGTCCATCGCTGCCGGCGACGTCCGCGGGTCGGGCAGCCCGATGCTCGCCGTCGGCGCGCCGCTGTATGACTCTGCCCGCGGACGGGTCTTTCTCGTCGACATGGACTGGGCCACTCCAGCAGCCGTGAGCATGATTGTTGTCGAGGAGGGCGCTATCGGCTGGAACCCAAGCCCTACCCTCGGCTCGTTGGCCCAGATCGGGACAGGCGTGGCGCTGGCTGACCTCAACGCCGACGGCTGCGTTGATCTGGCGGTCGGCGCGCCGGGCGCCGAGGAGCTTGGGCCCAACTACGGCGTCCTCGGCATTCTGCTCCTCAACAGCAGTCCGACATCCATCGCTGTCGAGAGCTTCACCCGCATCTCGTACTCGGCCAATCCGGCCCTGCAGTCGACCGTCTCCGTCGGCGCCGAGCTCGGCTACGCTGTCGCCACGGGCAACCTTAACGGCGCCGGCTGTCCGGACGTCATCTTCTCCGGCCCTGCATCCAACAAGGACGCGGGCCATGTCTGGGTGGCAGCCTGTGAGCATGTTGTTCCCTCCCCGCCGCCGCCGCCGCCATCGCCGCCACCGCCACCCTCTCCACCGCCGCCGCCGCCGCCGCCATCGCCGCCGCCGCCGCCCTCTCCGCCGCCGCCGCCATCGCCGCCATCGCCGCCGCCGCCACCATCGCCGCCGCCGCCACCATCGCCGCCGCCGCCACCATCGCCGCCGCCGCCGCCATCCCCACCTCCACCTCCCTCTCCGCCGCCACCTCCATCGCCACCTCCACCTTCCTCTCCGCCGCCTCCGACTGGATCGCCGCCATCGCCGCCATCCCCTCCTCCGCCGCCATCACCGCCGCCATCGCCGCCACCATCGCCGCCACCCTCTCCTCCCCCTCCCTCTCCTCCTCCTCCGCCACCGCCACCATCGCCGCCGCCACCACCGCCGCCTTCCCCGCCGCCGCCTCCTTCCCCGCCGCCGCCACCTCCTTCCCCACCATCACCGTCGCCGCCGCCATCACCGCCGCCGCCGCCTCCTTCACCGCCGCCGCCGCCGCCATCACCGCCGCCGCCGCCTCCTCCCCCGCCGCCGACGTCGTACACCAACATCACTACGCCAATCATCTGGATCCACACGCCAACCACCTCGCGCCTAGCCGGAGGCGTCGGCATGGAGCTCTCCACCACACAAGATCAAGCTCCTCAGCTCGACCTCCTCGCTGCGCGCGACGTCTCCCTCTTCGTCGAGACAACCTCGTCAGCCAGCCCGGACTCGGCCGCCTTTGTCCTGGTGCCCATCACCATCACCGGCGCTCGATCGCTCACCTTTACCTCTCCCGTCACTGCGCGCGTCGGTTACGCTCACATGCGACTGGCTGTCACAGCATCGTCGACCAGCAGTCGGGCGGCGACGAGGTTGGCGGCCCGTGACGCGGGCGATGGCGCCACCGTCATGTACTGGATCACCTACTCGCTGTACTACCTCGAGTCCGAGTGCATCGCCGAGGGCTATGTCCTCTACAACGGCGCATGCACCGCATGTGATGATGCTTTCCCCGGCGCTTACTGTCCCGGTGGCGATCGCTTCTTCCCGCTCCCGGGCTTCTGGTCTTCATCGACGTCGTCCCCGCCCGTCGCCTGCCCCGTCCCGTCCGAATGCCCGGGCACTCCGCGGCATCGGCCCTCCGCGCCTCCATCCACAGCATCCGACAACCCAGTAGACATGCCATCAGGCTTGTTCAGGTGCCGTCCTTCTCGCTCTGGCCCGCACTGCCTCTCCTGTGCTGATGGCTTCTTCATGTCCGACTACGGCAAGTGTATCACCTGCGACACGCCCGACGCCGTCTCGGCCATCATCCTCTGGCTCGCTGTCATCATCCTGGTCATCACTGTCATTGTCTTTGCCGCATGCTGCTCTGTCACCTCCGGTGCCGTCTTTGTCGTCGCTCTCATGGCCGCCCAGGCTGTCGCCCTTGTCTTCCGCTACATCGTCGCTCTCTCCATCGATCACGCCGACACCTCGTGGCGTCCCACCGCCGCCCTCTGGGCCGCTGTCGTTCTCTTCCAGCCTGAAGCCCTTCGCCTTGGCTGCCACCTATCCGCAGATCCGCCCTACTTTACCGAGAGCTACATCCGTCTCGTCCTCCTCGCCGCCATTGCCCTCGTCTTTGCCCTCATCTTCGCCCTCTGCTGCGCCTTCTCCTCCTCGTCGTACCCCGGCAAGCCGCGCGGCGCCATCGCCCCGGCGCACGTCGCCCCGGCTGGAAGTCGAGTGATGTCAAGCGTGCCCGCAAGCATGGCGAGAGCGATGATGATCATGGCCACAGCGATGAACCCGTCCCGCTCGCCCGTCGCCGGTCCAAGAGCGACGTCGTCCGCCCCATGCACGCCAAGCACAAGCATCGCCGTCGCTCCATCGCCCATGGCGGCACTCACCATCGCAACCATCTGGTCTCCAAGCAACGTGTCCAGCCCACCTCCTACGTCACACACGTCACTCATGGCGAGCCACGCATCCAATACGTCTCCAACGTCACGTTGAAGACCACCACCGCAGCTAGCCAGTCCTCCATCCGCACCTCCAAGAACGCGCACCTCCACTCGTTCTCCGTCGCGTCGCTGCCGCCCATGGACTCGTCGTCGTCATCCATCGCCTCGTCATCATCGTCCGCCCCGTCCTCACCGCGCGCCCACTCATGCCGCGACAAAGCCGCCGCTCACTCTGCCGACTCTGCCCACGCCGATCGTACTGACGTCCACGCCGCCGACTTTACGCCACGCCCACACCAGCCATCGCCCCACCCCCGCCGTCGCCACCGCCGCGTCGCTCCCATGCCATCGTCCATGCCTTCCTCCTTGTCTGGGCCTCGTTCTTCACTCCTGTCGCCCATCAGTCGCTGCGCGGCCTCGACTGTGTCGCCCTTGCCGCCGGATCGGACGTCCTCCGCATCCGGACCGAGACTTCCACCGAGTGCTTTGTCTCCTTGCATCTCGTCCTTCTCTGCATCGCCATCGCCCCCATCTTGCTCTTTTGGGTCATTGCCCTCCCGCTCTACGTCACCTGTGGCCAAGCCAGCTGGCTTGCTCTTCTCCGTCGGAGCCTCGCCCATCCCCTCTGCTATCACTCGGGCGTGCCGTTTGCACATGCCCTCGGCCTTGCCATCGCCATCACCTTTGGAGATCGCTGGGCGCCATCGATTGACGCGGTCTTTGTCGGCATTGTTGTCATTGCTGCCCTTGCCGCCTTTGCCCACGCGTGGGCCTCGTGCCGCCCATGGCGCGCCCTACTCGTCGCAGCTGGGCTCGCTGCCACCCTTATCCTCCTCCTCTGGGCCTCGATAGACCACAACACCCATCATCTCACTATCGGCGTGGTAATTGCCTTCATCTTCCTTTCCTGTCTTGCCGCCGGCGTCATCGTCGTCCGCATCGGCGCCTTTACCCCCTACGACGACGATGTGCCTGACAAGGACCTGCCGCCGCGCCATCAGGCGGATCCGGCACCGCCGGCCTACCCAGCGCCTGTCCGCACGCGCGCCTCCCTCTTCGACTAACACGCACACACACACACACACACACACACTCTCTCTCTCTCATCATCACCACACTTGGCGCGTCCTTTGACCCTTTACGGTACGGAATGGACGTATTTGTCCATCGCGCAAGCCGCGCTCTTCGACGCTCCACAGACGTCGCAACGTCCAAACAGTCGGCGATGAAGAGATGGACGCCGCGCGCGGCGCAAAAGGTCCGCGGCCGCAATCGCTTACCATGAAGCCTCCGGCAGGCGAGGCAGTCGCATCGCAGAGCGGCTTGTTGGGGAAGGTGGTGATGACGAGCAGCCGCTGCATAGGGACGCTTCCGCTTGCGCGACGGCGCGGAGCTGACGGCATTGGCGCCAGCAGTGAGGGCGTCGATGATGTCGTAGAGAAAAGCCAAGCGAGTCATGACGGGCGTGGGCTTGCGTCGGCGTAGAGCGCGTACGCGCTGATGAGCGCGGCGTCCAGAATCCAGTACAGGATGGCGTGCCACCTCTTGCGCGGCCACGCCGACCGGCAAGCTCGTCCGTCGCAAGACGTCCTCGCGCGCTCCCGTCCCGCCGCTGTGTGTTCAACTCTGCTATGCTCTCCTTCCCGGTCCTCGGGGTCGTCAACTACAGGCGCCATCAGCGGCACCCAGTCGGCGGGGCGATCAGCCGGCGGCGTGATCATGATCACGATGGTGATCGGGATCACGCCCCGCCGACGCACACGGCCACCCACCCGACGCTAGAGAGAGGACAGAGCAAGCTACGTTGCCCAAAGTCGGCAGTGATGGAGTGGAGCGTATGGAGGATATGTGGTGTGGTTTTGGTGCTTGTGGGACTGGTAAACCAGGCAGGAGCGGTGTGCCATTGGTGCAATGTCTCGCTGCCACAACAAGTCGCCGTCCGTGTCTCCCGCCTCTCGACGCGCCGCTCGTCTTTTTTCGAGTCGGGCGCCGTGGCCATGCTCCGCGGTCTTCCTCGGACCAAACTGCCTGCTGCTGAGCTTGCTGCCGGATCTTTTTCGGCTGAAGCTCTAGTCGCCTATGTCAAGGACATTCTCATCTTGATCCTTCTCTCGGCGGTGCTGACTCTGGCTGCATGCTGCACTCCGTGCTGGTTTTATTCTTGCAGACGATGCGGGGCCAGCCGATGCTGTGGTGGTTCGGCTCCCAATCGCTCAGGCTGCAATCTCTTTCCCATGCGCGACAAGCCGTGTCGCGGCTACTCCAAGAAAGAGCGCAGACTGCCGGCGGCTGCCATGACTGCCGCCGTCATCATCATCTTCTCCGCCGTCTCCTCGGGCACCTATTACAACGAGGTTGTCCATCAGGGCGTCGGCGATGTCTTTGACGACGCCCTCCTCGGCGCCACCGCCGTCAGCCAACATGTCAACTTTATGGCTGACCTTGTCGAGGCGCTTGGCCTCGACGTCCAGGACGAGGTCGCCGCCGGCATTCCCGTCATCCTCGCCTCGGCCGCCAACACCTCGTTTGGTCTCGAGATCGAGGACTCGCTCTCGAACGAACTTGACGCACTCACGGGCTCCATCACCGACTGGATCGACGCGTCGACCCGCTCAGAGTCGGACGAGTCGGCGGCCAGAACTCGGGCGTCGAGCGCCCACGCCGCCAACAGTGACGCACACGCCGCCCTCCAGCAAGCGCTCACGCCGCTGCTTGCCGCGCCCTCAGTCTCGCTCACGTTCGAGACAATATCATCAGGAAGCGTGACGCGCTCGTTCCCACGGCCGTACCCTGCACTCGCTGCCCAGCCGCTGCGGCCGGTGGCAAGTGCCGGCGACGCTGCGCTGGCGGCCGACCTCGGTGACCTGCCGGGCGTCATCGGCCAAGTTGACACTCTGGACGCCGTCATCGACGAGCGCGTTACGGCAGTCAACGAGCTGCTCGAGCGCCAGCTCACCGAGGCGTTCGACAGAGCGCAGAGCAACATCGGGAGGGTGGCGTCGCGCATCCGGAACGTCACCGCGCCCGGCGGCGTCGTGCCTCAGACCGAGAAGCTCCTCGGACGGTTGCAGAATGTGGTGGTCAATGCCGACCGGCGGTACCGGTCGCCAATCTTCTTGGTGGTGGCATGGACGTCGCCGCTGGTGGTCATCCCGTCGATTGTGGGCCTCATCCTCGCCTTTTGGTGGTTCCGCCTCTCGTGCCCGCACACCACTGCCGCCGTCGGAGCCTTTGTCGTCCTCGCCCTCGTCATGGTCAACCTCACCGTGTACCTCCCGGTTGTCCTTGTCCTCGACGACTTTTGCACCGACGTCGACTTTATCGTCTTCTCAGCCCTCGACTCGGTCGAGCCCAACGCAACAACTGCGCTCCAGACCTGCATTGCCGACGAGAACCTCTTTGACGCATTTGACGTCTCTGCCATCATCAGCGAGCCGCTGGCCAGCCTACGCTCCTCACTCGCCGACCACCTCAACGCCGTCCTCGACGTCAACTCGATTTTCCCGGACGAGTCCATCACCGGCGCCCGCCTCGCCACCGATGAGGACACCGAAGCCACTCTTGCCCGCCTCGACGCCCTGGACGCCGAGCTCGCTGCAGAAGCCGCGTACGCCGCCTCGGGCTCGGCCAACGTCACAACCTACAACGACACCCTCGCCGCCGTAGCCTCGGCTGGGGACGCGGATGCGCGTGCGGCCTGGGAAGCCGCTGTGGGTCTCGACATTGCCGCCGCGCTTGACGCAGCGAACATCGCTCTGGCAAGCGCCGGCTACGATGCGGTCGTCTTTACTCTCGCCAACGTGACCGCCTTTAACGCCTCGGCCTACTCGGGCATCGGGCCGGCAGGTTTCGAGCTCGAGGTTCAGCTTGGGCTCAACGCCACGCTGACCGCCGTTGCCGACGCGCTCGCCGACGCGGCATCGAACGCTATGGTGATCTTTAGCGAGAGCGTGCTTCCGGCGCTCAGCGATGCAGCCGCGGAAGCTGCGGCCGGGCAGGCAAGCTCGGGCAGTGCCCGCGACGAGGCGAACGCGGCGGCGGCGCGCGCGGAGGCATCAGACGTCGCAGGCGAGTCGATCGACGCCCAGCTGCGGGCAGCGCTGCAGTCCAACCTTGATGATGCAGCCGAGGCGGCGTTGGCCATGCTTGACCGTGGCGTGACTATTGTCATTGCCGCGCTCCGCAGCGCAGCAACGTGCCGGTACGTCGGCCGGACATACAACGCGTTCAAGACCGATGTGTGTGACTCTGTTCGCGGCGGCCTGTCTGTCCTCTGGGGCACGCTCGCTCTGCTCTCACTCACGTTTGTCACCGCCATCATTGCCGGCACCCTGCTCTCCAAGCGGGCAGGCTTCCTCTACCCGGAGGACAAGGTCGTCTCCAAGATGATGGCCAAGGTTCATGGTCTGTCATCGCCGGCCGACTTTGCCGCCGCCCACGATGCCTCGCTCCGTTGCGGCTGCCTCTCGCGGCACCTGGCTGCCGCTGCCGGCGCTGTCGGCCTTCATCGGTCGGCCTCGGCGCCGTGCTCGCCGGTAGCTGCTGCCGCTGCCGCCAACATGACCTTTGCCTCACTGGCGGTGACGACTGGCGTGGCGCCGGCACCTCACGACCCGCTGGCGCTCTCGCGTTCGATGGCTTCGGCCGCCGACATTGCCGCCTCGCGCACAGCAGGCTACTCGTCGCTCGAGCACACCGAGTCTGGCGACGGCGACGGTGCCGCCGCTGCCACTGAGATGCACTCTGACTCGAGCTACGCCTCCGAGTACGTCAGCTCGTCGGCGGCCGAGTCGGGCATCGAGCTCGACGCCATCCGCTTTGACAGCTTGCCGCCGCCAGCGCCGCCGACGTCGCTTCCGGCACAGGACTCGCCGTCGTCGACGACGGGTCTGACAGCGTGGTCGGGAGGCAGCTCCGTGCTTGCCAAAGCCGCCGCAGAGACCGGAGCTGCCGAGGAGCAGGTCGAGGAGATGGAGGTGGTGGTGACAGACTCGGTGGGAGGATCTGCGCGGCTGGTGATGGCGCACGACCCACCGCCGCTGACGGCCGAGCTTCGGGCGGCCGCCGAGGCGCTGCTCCCGCAGACGGCCGATGTCGAGGCTGCCGAAGCTGCGGCGGCCGGTGCCGTCCACAGCATGCGGTACACCCCGGTGGTGGCGGTCGACGTGAGCGGCGGGCGCATGGGGTTGGGCTATGCACACTCGGCCGATGTGGCGGCAGTCGACGGAAGCCCAGCTCGCCCGCAGTACCTCGCCACGATCGACGCCACAGGCGGGATCGATGTCAACGAGCTGACGGCGCTCTCGCTGCGGATCTACACCCTCGCCGAGGCGGTGAGCTCGGGCGAGCTGGCCAGCTCTGCACCGATGTGGAATGAGCTCCCGCCAGTGGCGACCGCGGTGGCGCAGCTCTCGCCCCTCGCCCGAGCGCAGCTGTGCGAGGCGGTGCAGGAGCTCGACGCCGAGGCAGCGCGCAAGCTCCGCGCAGCGGCAGACGCACGCAGAGGAGTGCTTCGAGCAGGATGGAGCAAGCCTAACTTGCGGATGATGCTGCAGCTGGTTGCGGCGGCGTGCGAGACGCCGCTGGAGGCCGATGCGCGGGTGCTCGCCGACTGTTGCGCCGGGCGTGGCGTGGCCGAGGACTGGTCGCCTGAGCTGGCGAGGCAAGTGGCGTGCTTCATCCTGGCCACGCACGCAGACCTGCCCGGGCTCGCGGCAGCAACGACAGCGGCGTGTGGGTACGACGGCGAGCTCGACGGGCTTGTGGCCAGCTCGGAGTGGGGCGTTCGCGGAGCGACGAACTCGCTGGCGGCGGTGGCGGCGAGCGTCAGGGCAGCAAGCGTCAAGGCAGTGCTCGGCGATGAAGCCGAAGCCGCAGACGACGATGATGTGCTGCCACAAGCGGTTCGGAAGCTTGTGGGCGGCGGACGGCGGGCAGCGTCGCGGGTGCTGCATGAGGAGCAGGTGGAGGCCGACGCGCGCGCGCTGTACGAGGCCGGTGAGGGCAAGACGTTGACGACGGACGTGCCTGTCTTTGTGGGTGTTTTTGTTCGAGCTTCGCCAGCACACCTCGCTGCCGTCTCCGCCGCCTACCGCAGCTTCTCGTTCTCGACGCTCATGGCGGCGCTCCGTGACGAGATCGACCCGCCGCTGCTGGACCTCCTCGCGGCGCTGCTGGATCCTGTAAGCGCGTGCGCGGCGCTGGTCCGCTACGCGCTGGACACCATCAGGAACGACGGCGGCGCGCTGTTCGCCTTCCTGGCCACCCGGGCGCCACGCCCACTCCGCACTGCACTCCGCCCGGTCTTTCTGGAGCGGTTCTACCTTCCGCTGCCGCGCGTGGTGTCTAGCGCGGTAGCCAACACGGCGCAGGCGGCGGTCGAGGCGCTGGTGGCGGCCGAGCCCGAGGTGGACGAGGCGGCTCAGGCGCTGCGCAAGCGCCTGGGCCAGCTCCATGTGAACGATGGCAAGGCCGTGGCGGCACTGGCGTCGCTGCCACGCTTTGTCCGGCTCGGGCTGGCTCTCGGCTACCGGCGATCGTACGGAGTGGCGCTGGCGACGGCGCTGAAGCAGCGGCTGGGGACACGGACGGCGGCGGTGACGGCGGCGGCGCTGCTGCCACGGCCGATAGCGGCAGCCAACGCGCTGCACCAATTGATCACCGAGGCCCGCGGCTCCAAGCACGCTGCCACTGCGTCGATCCTTGTGGTCTGCACCCTCCCACACAACGACGTGCTCGCTGCGGCGCGGGCGTACCGGCGGACATACGGCAGCGAGCTGCTGAGCGAGCTCGCGCGGTTCTTGCCCAAGCCACTGGTGGCAGGCCTCCGCGCCGTGGCCGACGCTGCCCTGCTGGACGTCTTCTCGGCGGCAAGCGCGGGCCGCTCGGACGATCTCATGGCGTCGGCGGCGGTGCTCCCGTTGGAGGCCGCGGTGGCCGAGGTGGAAGCGCTGAGCGCGTCCGGCAGGAGCAGCGCCGTGCTTGGTGCTGACGGCATTCTCGTCCCGCCGCTCTACGCCATGGTTGTCCACGCAGCCGCCAGGCGTGAGGTCGTCACCGACGCCATCCGACCGGTCCTGCCGGCTGTCGCGTCCGTGGCGCCGCTAGTGGCGCAGCTGGTGGAGGCGCTGGTGGACCCGGTGGCGTATGTGGGCAGCGCCGTCGTCGCCGTCGTCACGCGCAACGTGGTCAAGCGATGGTGGTCGCCCCACATCGAAGCGCTGATACTTTCGGCGGCGGCAGCGCTTCCGCCAACAGAACTCTGGGCTCGGGTCCTTGGCGCCCACACCCATGAGCTCCGGCCGCGGCTCTCGGCTGCCCTCTTTGCCGCCCTCAAGCTCTCGCTCGACGGCGGCGCCGGCGGCGATGGGCTGGACGGCCAGCCAGGAAGCGACTCGACGGCCGAATTGGCTGACTACAGTGACTCGATGGCGGCAACAACCCGGACGGCATAGTGGTCCGAGGGCGTGGCAAAGGAGATGGTGGCCGACGGCGGTGAGGCCGAGGCCGAGGCGGAGAACGGCGGTTCTGGTGGCGCGGCAAGGCCGAGAAGCGGCTCGGTGCCCATTCGCTCGGCGGATCGGAGGGCGATGCGGCGGAGAAAGACGCGATCAGGCCGCCACGGCTTGCGAAACCTGCGGCTACCCGGGTGGGTGGGCCCAGCGGCGGCGGCGGCGTCGGTGTAGCCCTCGAGGGCGGCAGCGAGCGAGGCACCCTCGGGCGAGTCGCCGATGTTGCAGTCGCCGGCGAGGAGGAGCGACGGCCAGAGGCCGATGGCCTCGACGCCGCAGCGCCAGGCCTCGAGGGTGTGGCGCGCAATGGCGATCTGCATCTGGCGCATGGGCGCGGTGTCGTACATCGACTCAAGGTGGGCGGTGGCGGCGACGACGACCCGCGACGCGGTGCCGGCCACCCGCCAGGCGGCGGTCAGCAACCACCGGCCCATAACGGTTGGCAGCGGAGTGGCGAGCGCGAGGCCGCCGCGCCATCGCGACAGCATGAGCACGCCGTACTCGTTGAGGACGTCGGCGGCGGTGTCTGGTGAGACACTCGCCGCGTAGCTGGCCCGGATGGCCGGCGCCGCGAGGAGGAAGGCGGCAAAGGCCGGCGTGGCCTCCTGGATGGCGACGAGGTCGGCGTCGGCGGCGAGTATGAGGTCGATGATGGCCGGCCAGCGGAGATCGTCGGCGTAGACCGGATAAAAGACATTGTAGCTGAGGATGGTGAGCTCATGGTCCCAGGGCTCGATCGGGTCTTCGGCCTCGTCGACGTAGACGGCGAAGTCAGGAGCCGGGAGCGCGGCGAGTTCGACTGATCGTCCGGCATCAAGGACGGCCAGCTGGCGGACAAATCCCGGATTGGGCGCGATGGCTGGTCGGGCGGCCTTGACTTGGGCGTGGGCAGCGAGAAAGTCGAGGTCGCAGCTGCGCATGAGGTAGGCGATGACGCAGGCCGCCGAGCGGGAGACGCCCGCTGCGCAATGGATGATGACTGCGCGACCGGCGGTCCGGGCGGTGTCGATGGCTGCGCAAACGGCGTCGATGGGAAGCGCAACACAGGGCGCGTCAATGATGCCGATGTGGACAAAGTCTGGGCCCGGCGACGGAATGTCGGCGTACGCCGGCGGGGCCGAGGCGATCTCGGCTGCGACCGAGATGACGGTGACGGCGGCGGCCGGCGCGGCGCTAGCGGCCATGTCGATGTGGAACGGTGCGGCGGCGCCGACGGCCGATGCAAGAAAGAGCGGGCCAAGGCTTGTGTCGTGATCAGCGTCGACAATGAGGTTGATCTCTGTGTCGACGAGGCCCGGCATGAGGAGCGCGGCCATGTCCTGATCAAGGACGACGTCGTCGATCTGGCCGATCAGAGCTCTGTCACGGACATCGGCTGCGGCGGCGAGGAGCAGATCGGGCGAATCAGGAAGCCAAGCGTCCGCAGCAGCGTGGTAGGCATACATGGCGAGTGGGGAGGAGGATGCGATCATTTCCGATGTGGTGGCGGCGTTGCGGGCGGCAGCGGCTGGCGAGGAGGACCACTTTGACATGGCCGAAAAAGGGCGTAAAGTGGGCAACCTGTTTGGGTGTGCAGGGCACGTGGGGATGAAGATAGATGGGAGGGAAGTGGATGTGGTGCTCGGCGTGGGTGTGGAGAGAATTGAGAGTGGGGTGCGGTGTGTGTGGAGTGGGCAATGCCGGTGGTAGCGGGGGTGGAAGGGGAGGGGGACGACAAAGCGACGGAAAAAAATGGAATGGAAGCGCTGGCGAAAGGGGGGAAGGCGACGTTTTAGGCGAGCGAGGGGTCGGGAAAGCCTGTGAGGGTGAGGACGATGGCGATGACAGCGCGAGTGGTGGTGGTGAGCTGGCCGTCGACGTCGTAGCCCGGACGATCGAGGATGTCGCCCTCCTTGTGGTACATGGGGTCGCGGATCCAGTCGCAGTTCTCAAACACGCCCGAGGCCGGGTACTGCTTGCGGTTGAAGGAGGCCTGATCGGCGCAGCAGACGGGCGAGTAGCAGACGGAGACGTGCGGCTCGTAGAGCGCGATGACGGGCATGAGGATCTCGTTGAGGACGGCGTTGGAGTCGCGCTGGAGCAAGGCGATCTCCATGGTCTCCACTTCGGGCGGGCGGTAGGCGACCATGTCCGAGTTGATGTACGCGATGATGTCGTCGCCGGAGTTGTCAGCCCGCCCGGCGTACGCCTTGGAGCCGCGGCGGCCCTGCTCTTCGCCGGACCAGAAGCCAATGCGGACGGTGTAGTTGAGGGTGACTGGCGAGGAGGCGAGGACGCGGGCGACCTCGAGGTTGAGCGCGGTGCCAGAGCCATCGTCGTTGGCCCCGGGGGCCGGATCTGTGGGCGACGAGACGTTGCGCGAGCGCGAGTCGTAGTGCCCGCCGATGATGACGTACGAGGTGTCGAAGCGGCCTGGAAGGGTGGCGATGACGTTGGGCGAGTATCTGTCGCTGTAAGGCCAGTACTCGACCTCGTACCCGAGAGTCTCGAGCTCGTGCACGAGCCAGTGAGAGACCTTGATGGCGTCGTCCGAGTACGAGTTGCGCGTCACAATGGTTGACGATACGCCGGTGAGGTACTCGAGTGACGCCCGGAGCTTACCGGCGTCGACCTTGTTTGCCATGCTGACGATGAACGGATCCGGCGTGGTCTTGGTGAGCATCTTGTCGCGGATGGCGGTCAGCCGGGCCTCAGCGTGCGCCGGCAGCGTCTGGATTGGGCCGTCAATGACCGAGACCTGGGCGTCGACCACGGCAGCAAGTTGGTCGTCGAGCAGAGCGACAGCAGGCGAGTCGAGGCCAAAGAGAGCCATCGCCGGGGTGCGATAGAGGGCATGGCAGCCGACTACGGCCTCGACCTTGCGGCCCCACGCATCTGCGCTCTCACGCCCGTCCCCGGGCACCATCTCGACCAGCACAAGGCTCTTGTTCGCCGCCTCGCCAAAGTACTCCTCCACGGCACGTGTGACGACCGTCGCGGGATAGGCGAGGTGCTCACCGCGCGACGCTGGCACGGTTCCGATGGTCACGTCGGCGAGCTCGAGGTAGGGGGTGATGATGGAGAGGAGAGCGGCGACCTGCGCCGATGATGCGTGGTTTTCTGTGGTTTGATTCAAATTGTTGGCATGTGCCGGAACCACACCACCCGCATGTGCCACTCGCCCTGTCTCCGGCCCACCCGCCGCACCAGGGGTAGGCACAGCCACGAGGATGGGCGCAATGGAGGCGCAGCAGGCGGCGGTGCAGGGGCAGGCGGCGAGGAGGAGGATGGCCAGGGAGTGGGGGGTGCGGGGCATGTGTGTGAGGGGGGGGTGGAGGGGGGAGAGGAGTGGCTGGTGGAGGGGTGGGAGTGGTGGGAGAGGTGGTGGTGGTGATGGTGGTGGTGGTGGTGGTGATGGTGATGGTGATGGTGATGGTGATGGTGATGGCGAGTGGTGATGGTGAGTGGTGATGGTGGTGGCAGTG